TGACAATGTCTACTAACCATGTTCTATGTTGACAGTATTACAGACATTCACATGGTGACATTGTCTACTAACCATGTTATATGTTGACAGTATTATATTCATTTACATTGTTTATAAATAGAAAGAAGATATGAATATTGTTTGTGAGCGATTCACAACAAGTAAATTGAGAAAGTTTGAAGATTTACAAAACATAGAAACTTATGGTTTCAGAGGAGAGGTAAGAATCCATGATACAAATTTCATTTCCTTTATAAGTGCCTGGCAGGCGAAATATGTTTGTACGTATTAAAATATGTCGTTTTTGTACATCAAAATATGTTCTTTTACACTAAACAATTTTTTTTTTACACCATCATGATCAAATATGTTCTTTGTACATCAAAATATGTTTTTTGTACACCAAAATATGTTGTTTGTACATCAACATGTTCTAAATATAATTGTTGCACTCTGTTTTCATCAGGCATTAGCTAGCATTAGTCATGTGGCCCATGTAACTATAACAACAAGAACAGCTGACTCCAAGTGTGCTTTCAAGTAAGTCAATATTTGACCTGGTCTTGGTTTTTTTCTTATTTATTTCCACTTTCGGTAATTGTTTCAATCTATTCAATCTATTCACTTGTCAGATTTGTTTTGATTGTTTCTCACAGTTTATAGTTGGTATAATTTTGTTTTCATAATTTTCCACAAAATGTAAAATTCCCTAGTAGTCTTATAATGATTCTTCTTTGTAGTCCCTGTTCGGACACAGTCCGTAAACGAGGACTTATGTTTTGACCTCCGTGGGTGCGTGCATGTATGCGTCCGGACCTGTATCTTAGAAATGCCTGGACCAATCACATTCAAACTTCACACATACATCATACATGATATTATACATATGCACATCAATTTGTTTCACGATCTGATTCAAGATGGCCGAATGGCGGCTATTTTTGTGCTAAAAATCATCAAAATCAAGCATTTTTCGACTGTTTACAGATGGATTTTGTTCAAGATTGGTATATACGTTACACATTATAGGACCTTGATGCACATCATTTTGACTGGCGGCCATTTTGTTTTAATAAATGTGGTTCTAGTGCCATATCTTTGACTTGCTTTGACTCACTGATTATGTTCAAATTTTAAATATTCATTATAGATCATGTCATAAATATACAGATATATTGGTTTGACGATCCTATTCAAAATGTCCAAATGGTGGTCATTTTTGTGCTAAAAAATCATCAAATATCAAGCATTTCTGGCATTTATGGATGGATTTTGTTCAAACTTGGTACATACATTAGACATTACGGGTTTCTGATGCATTTTCATTTTATTTTTCAGATTGGATTAAAAAAGGCTGACTGGCGGCCATTTTGTTTTAATGATTGGGCTTCTAGAGCCATATCTCTTAAATGCTTTGACTGATTATATTCAAATTTTATATATTCGTTATACATCATGTTATATATATATACATGTATTCAAAATGGCTGATTTTGAATGTTGTTCCAGAGCAATATCTCTCAATATGGACAAGTACTTGTTTGACGATCAAATACAAATGTCAATCATTTTAATGTTAAAAAAATCATATTTCTGACATGGTTATATTACTATAAACAAAACTATATATCTTAAATTTGATAACTAACGGGGACTGTGCCATTGCATGGCTTGTTGATATTTATTCATTCACTTCTTCCATTGTACAATTAATGAAGTGCATCATATAACACAGATAAAATATTTTGCAAAGTCATTATGTTCTGTAATCAGAAAACTAATGATATATTATGATACCTTAGCAAAATCAGAAAACCTGTGTAACCATCAAATAGCTATTTTTGAAAAGCTTTCTGACCTAACAGGTTATTGATTACACTGCATTATATTCAGTAAATCAAATGTATATCATTGGTGGATTTGTCGAGAAATTTTATCATTAATTAAAACATACAATTAAATCTGTGATAGAGTTGAAGAACCCCAATCATTGAAATTTTGTGTTAAGAATTGTTGCTCACATGTGTAGTATATATCACATACCGCAATTCTTCTATCAATTCGACCCCTCTATTAATTGGACCACCTAATTTTGTCTGCAAAAATATTTTTTGTTTTTCCTCTTTTTATCCGGCCACTCACAGGAAAGGGGGCATTCAAATTGCTATCATCCCAGCAAATGTTTCTCGCAATGAATAACCATAAAACAAGTTTACTATGTTTGTCTTCCTGTGCATTATTCTGTCACTTCACACTCTTTTACCCACAAAGAAACAATGAAGTCATCCAGACGTGGTGTTGACTGCGTGAGCTTTGATAAACCCAAGTGCGTCTTTGTGTTAGAGGGTCTATGGTCAAACTGATATGCTACTCATATGCTCATCACTTTCACTGTTGTGGGCAGAGTGATTTATGATTGTCGGTAATTTAGACAAAAACAAAATTAATGTAAATGAACTAGTAACCACAATTTTCCCATAATTTTCCCACCGCTGGGCCTAATTTGATAGCTGCTCACTAACGTCTTGTAAAACAATCATGTAATGTAATCAATCATTCAGCTTGTCGTCTGGCGTTTATTGTTTACTACCAATATGCTAATGAGGAGACAAAGTGGAGCTGCGTTATTTTAAACATGCTAATGAGGAGATAAGTGGAGCTGCTTTATTTTAAACATGCTAATGAGGAGATAAGTGGAGCTGCTTTATTTTAAACATGCTAATGAGGAGATAAGTGGAGCTGCTTTATTTTAAACATGCTAATGAGGAGACAAAATGTAGAGGCGTTTGAACTGAGACTGCGTTGTTGGAAGTCAAACTTGTGTTGTCTGCAGGGAAACATTGGATCAACATTGACCTGTAAATCATCATGTAATCAATTATTCAGCTGCATTTAGATTTTCCTTTAATTTTGTTTTGTATTACAAGCCAATATTACTGTGAAGTATTCACCAATGTCCATCAATGTCTTGCCAAGTTTTTTGACTGCTTGCCATTTATCTAGTTACAGCAGTGATTAGACATGACGTTTTATATAAATTGAAGTTGGTGAAACATTTTCAGGGCTATCCCACTCTTCCAAAATATGCTAAGCAGTACCAAAAAAAACAGTACTAGAAAAAGATTGAGTGAGTGTATGTGTTATTATATTTATTGCAAATTTACGTACAACTGGCATAATCGAACTAATACATTGTTTACAAAACTGTTCTGTTCTTTAAGTGGTAGTTTGTTTTTCGTTCTCAATCCTGCAGTTCAGTTGCTAGAATTTATACCCCTATAATTCGTCCACTCAAAAAAATAATTTCTGTTTTTCTTCTTATAAATCGGCCACTCCCAAAAATAATTATTTTTTCATGGTCGAATTGATCAAAGGATTACGGTAGGACTCATTTTGAATAGCACATGTTAAGAGAACTGTGGTGTTTTAATCATAATTGTAAATTATATATAGGGGCAACTACATTGATGGTCAACTCAAAGGTGCTGTCAAACCATGTGCTGGTAATAAAGGAACTCAGATAACAGTAAGTCTTGCAATCCACAATCAATGTTTTAATGTTCCATTGTTATATCCTGTTTCATTGTATGAATAAAACATTCATTTTATACACACTCTCTATTGTTTTTAGTCTGAAAACAAGGCCTTATTCATCTTATCACATCTTTAAGGTCCATTCTCACTAAAATTGTTATCACTGATATTGACACTCTTATTTTCTGGATAGGCTGGGAAGTCTCAGTTGATAATGTACCTATTGGAAATGAAATTCTTACATCAATTTGAATTTGTTTTGACAAAAGTAGCAGCTTGGAACTTCCGTGACCAGTCAGTAAATACTTAGGGGCAGACCAGTTCCATATAAAATTTAGCAGACTAGGACTGGTGGCTATTCTTAGTCCCCTTTTTACTTTTCATCTTGTAAATGTCATAATAATTAACCTTTGTTGACAGACACAGTCGCCATCATGAAAAGACTGCCACTGTTTTCCAAAAATACCAACAATCTACATTTGATCTTGTCATCAACTGGCATGCCCAGGCTAATTTCATTCTAACTTGGTATGACTTGATAGGTTACTAATGCATGTCATGGGTGGTTGCAGCAGACATATTTGTTCCCATGTTCTCTGAATGCTTGTAAGAAACATTAGGCACAACTGAGAGGGTGACTCATTTTTTATTAGTCTTACTAAAGAAAGGACATAATTGTGTTGTTCTGAATCTTGTTTTTTCAGGTTGAAGATTTGTTTTATAATGTCTCAACACGAAGAAAAGCTTTAAAGAGTCCTGGAGAGGAGCATAATAAAATCTCAGAAGTTATAAGTAGATATGCCATACATAATGCTGGAGTTGCATTTACATTGAAAAAGGTACTTCATTATTATCGAATGTATGTTATTCACATATTGACTTCTATTACTAAATATGTCAGTCTGTTATTCACATATTGACTTCTATTACCAAATATATCAATCTGTCATTCACATATTGACTTCACCAACTTTCAGCCCATCACTTTAGACAGCAATGTGTCAGCCCATCATTTTAGACATTCGCCTTTCAGCCCATCATTTTAGACATTCGCCTTTCAGCCCATCATTTTAGACATTCGCCTTTCAGCCCATCATTTTAGACATTCGCCTTTCAGCCCATTATTTTAGACATTTGCCTTTCAGCCCATCATTTTAAACAGCCACCTGTCAGCCCATCATTTTAAACAGCCACCTGTCAGCACATCATTTAAGACAGCCACTGTCAGCCCATCATTTTGGACAGCCCCATCTTTCAGCCCATCATTTTAGACAGCCCCACCTTTCAGCCCATCATTTTAGACATCCGCCTTTCAGCCCATCATTTTAGACATCCGCCTTTCAGCCCATCATTTTAGAAATTCGCCTTTCAGCCCATCATTTTAGACATTCACCTTTCAGCCCATCATTTTAGACATTCACCTTTCAGCCCATCATTTTAGACATTTGCCTTTCAGCCCATCATTTTAGACATTTGCCTTTCAGCCCATCATTTTAGACATTTGCCTTTCAGCCCATCATTTTAAACAGCCACCTGTGAGCCCATCATTTTAGACATTCTCCTTTCAGCCTATTTTTTTTTAGACATTTGCCTTTCAGCCCATCATTTTAAACAGCCACCTGTCAGCCCATCATTTAAGACAGCCACTGTCAGCCCATCATTTTAAACATCCATCTTTCAGCCCATCACTTTAGATGGCCATCTGTCAGCCCATCATTTTAGATGGCCACCTGTCAGCCCATCATATTAGATGGCCATCTGTCAGCCCATCATTTTAGATGGCCATCTGTCAGCCCATCATTTTAGATGGCCACCTGTCAGCCCATCAGTTTATATGGCCACCTGTCAGCCCATCAGTTTATATGGCCACCTGTCAGCCCATCACTTTAGATGGCCATCTGTCAGCCCATCATTTTAGATGGCCACCTGTCTGCCCATCATTTTAGATGGCCACCTGTCAGCCCATCATTTTAGATGGCCACCTGATGGACTACTTTCTACAATTTTTTCTGTAAATCACAAAATAACTATACATAATCAACAAAAACTAAATGATATTTTTCTGTCTACATACGGTACTAGCAACTACTAACTTCTATTTTAACATAGTTTTTCAGCACTTTTTCGGCTAGAAGCATACTTCCAAACTATACATGGTGTCTGTGATTAATTACAGCAAGGTGAGAGTGTAGCTGATGTAAGGACACCATCTAGTGCCAGTAAAATAGACAACATCAGGACAATATATGGAGCATCAGTAGCGAGGTAATATTTCCACTTTAATCTTCATGTAGTTCATAATCCCTTTGAACTTTTTTAGAAATCAAATTATTGATGCAACTAACATTCTGTATCTTTTGTTCAAATTGACAACTGGAGGAGGCTGGTAATGATTTTGTAATCATTGACTCTTTCAAAATTGTTTCTCCATTTGTCATCAAAATTACATTGTGTCACTGCATGATGTGCATCTACAGGCAGTTTAATAGAGCGAGACACATGTTTTCACCAACTGCCTATTCTACCAAGTAGGTTCTCTTCTGTGTACAGAACTATACCCATTTCAACAATCTTCTTCAACAATGATATACATAGACTGAAAGAGGTAATATTTATTGCATATTAGATCTGGATATTATGAAGACAAGTTAAAGGGGAGAAATATTCTTTGCACATCAGTCGTTTTAAGGATGTGTACTGAAATCCTCAGAGACCAATGTTGTTTGTTAACATTGTCTTTCAGAGAACTATTGGAGGTATCGTTTCAAAATTCTAAATTGTCTTTCAAAGTTTCTGGTTATGTTTCTAATGCTAACTATTCAGTGAAGAAGTGTATATTCCTGCTCTTTATTAACCGTAAGTAATTCACCATTTTGATTATTGGGACAAAGATTATTGGGAATAGATTGAAAGCAGAGCCCAAGGCCACGGTTGGACATAGAGGTGGACCAAGCTTAGAATAAATGGATTTTTCTATTCATGGGTTGAATGTTTGTGTGCCTTAGCATGGGTTAGACATAGAGTTGTATTAGGCTTAGATTAAATAATGTCCTCATGCAAAGGGTTGGATGTTTTCTAGCAATTAATTTGTGTTTGTTTGTCAAAAAAGTGAAATCAAACTTTTTATCATGTCTTCGTCATTTTTTATCATATCTTTGTCAACTTATGAATTGGCCAATAGTCATCAAGTATGATGTGATAGACCCGTAGTCATCAAGTATGATGTGATTGACCAGTAGTCATCAAGTATAATGTGATAGACCAGTAGTCATCAAGTATAATGTGATAGACCAGTAGTCATCAAGTATGATGTGATAGACCAGTAGTCATCAAGTATGATGTGATAGACCCGTAGTCATCAAGTATGATGTGATTGACCAGTAGTCATCAAGTATGATGTGATAGACCAGTAGTCATCAAGTATGATGTGATAGACCCGTAGTCATC